TATTATTTAAAATTGAAGTTTAATATAAAATTATTGGAAAATTGGAAGTATAATAGTAAGGTTATCAGTGAAAACTTGTGCGCGCTTAAGGCATGCACAATTGGATTTACCGGTAGTTTTTATTTTAATTTTATTCCCATATAATAAGTTTAGTAATAATAATTTACAAACACATGCGATACCATCGTATTAGTATGTGCCCAACACGGAGTTGTATGTACAAACAAATATATAAACAATTTGTAACAAATTAACTCAACTTCATCCAGTAAAATCGAGTTGCTTAACTCGAGAATAATTCGAGTTACGTGAATTTCAACTAAAGTTAACTCGAGTCGAGTTCCTTCCGAGTTTGCACAGCACATCTCTTGTAACTATTACTTGTTACAAGAGATGTGCTGTGCCAACTGTGTTGTGCTGTGGAATGTAGAGGTGTACCCGGGTGTAACTCTACACTCCGTACGTACGTATCTACGATTCCTGTAGATACTTATTATACTCCATAAGTAAGAGTGTATTATACTCTTTGAAATACTATTCACGTTGATTGGAAAAAGTCACCTTGTTGATAATTTGTGTGATTTTGGTGAATTCATTTTCCTCAGGATTGACTCAACTATATCAAAATTAAAGTCGATATTTATCTTGAATGTTAATAATGAATTGATAGAGTTGCCCACACAAGGAGAGGAAAGAAAATAAATGTTCTAAAAACGTAATTCTAATTCGCCGTTTATCAAAGAGATGGATAGAATTAAAAAATAGATAAGGTTAATTGGGCAGGTTGGTTGGAATCCAAAGAAGAACTCTACAATTTGCAGCCAACATTTTCTTGAGAAATATAAAACAAAAAGCAGAACAAAAACAAATTCATTAAAAGGAGCCATTCCTACATTGTTTGTACCAGTAAGTATTATATTATTACAGTAAGACTTAAAAAATTTAACTTGAAAAACTTTAGATAAAAATAGAGACATTTTTTCACATTAAAAAACTGTATTATGATAAAAATAAATAATGTTGAGATTATCCTATTTAAGCAATTATGAACCCAACTGAGTATTTATTTATCAACGAAAAAAATTTATAACCTTACTTAACCACCAGCACCTCACGGTCACACTAGTACAATATTTATATAATCGCGCTATTTTCGCCAAGGGGTTGAGCGGAGCTTCGGATTATATTACCAAGTCACAATGATAAAACTTTTAGTGTAGTGAGGTATAGATATTTAGTAATGCTCCTGAAGTGCCGCTAGATGTCCGTGCATGAGACGCGTGGTTTAGTGTGCCAGGATAGTATAAAGTCCATAGTATTTCATACTCACAACGCCTGATGCCCGATTTATGCTTGATGTCCGACAACTGTGTGCCGAAAGCTTGATAGCGTGGTTCATTGCCTATCGTCGCGCAAACGGGGGCATGCGATTTGTTGTTACATTCCTTAAAGGAATGCCCGAACTCTCCACAGTAGTTATAAGTAGGGCTACTTTCCCGACAAAATTTGACTGAATGACCAGACTGCTGGCAGTTGAAGCATCTTCTTACTATTAAAGTCTCTGACTGGGCATGAAATCCAATTAATATATATTCGTCCTTGATTGATAAGCGTCTTCCTGATGCTAGGTGGCACTTCGACAATGTAATTGCAAGTAGGAAGGTTTTTCTTACCTGATTTATGGCTCAGTTTGATTGTTGTCAGGAAGGACTCACGCGTGACATTGGGAAATTTATCAACAATATTTTGTTCGACGATGCCCTCGAACACTTCTTTCTCAGTGAGGGCTACAGGGTCACCAACAATAGTAATCCTTGGACGTCATTTAGTCGGCTCGTCCATGGTAAGGCCAGAAGATACAAGCTTCTTGGAGTTCTTTAATTTGTCGATATCTCCTTTTGTCTCTGCGCTAATTATAACTCCCCCATTTTTTACCTTCCTGTTGCCCCTGACATGTAGTTTGAGTTCTTCTGGGGATATATCTTCTGTAAGAGGCACTTCGTGTGATCACTGGTTTTAGACTTGTCTCTGGGATAAATTGCTAGGGTACTAATGTGCACGACACAAACAAAGTGATACGTCGAACGAAATACTTACTAAATGCTTGTCGTAACCAACGCTAGTTGAACCTAGGGGCGGTGGGTGGAGCCATGAGGGTGTTACGATCGTCGGGCCGCGATCACGGTTCAATAACTAGCGATGGTTGCACTCAGCAACGCGGAAAAAAGCCTTATTCAGAATATTAAAAAATATAACTTTGTATTTTAATAAATAGTATTGTAACTATGCAATAACTCTCCCAATAAAGGCACCAACGAATAGCGAGAGTTAGCATAGATTTAGAATGTAGTAATTAATTAATGTAAACTTGTAAAGTAATTATTGTAATTAGTTAATGTAAATTGTATTCCTTTATATAGTACAACTTACCTTTATTGTATATTAAGCCCTTAGGCACGTAAAATAATAAACAGGGCATGTTATCGTGACGTGGCCGCGGATCAAATGAGGCTACGCGCACCGCGCCACGACGTTTTATATTTATAGTGCTGAGGCGGGGGCAGAGTCCTCAGCCCGAAGTTGTTGGAAAACAAAATTTAAACCTTTTAGTATGTAGAAAAATTGTTGTGTACATATTAGTTTAATAAGTAGTTGTAAGAATATTATATATTTAATTCTGTTCGTTACTTTGTAAGAAATATAACCAATAAAGAAAGGCACGGGGGTGAGGCAAGGGTCCGCTGGCCAGCAACGGCCAAATCGTATATAAGACGGGCCGGCCGGTACGGTCGGCAGTCGCTCTCCAGCCACCGAAAAGAAGACAGCAAATAATCTTGAGGTACTGCAGCTTTTGGGACAGGTCAAGTTGGTTCTGCAGAGGCCCTTTATATCCCTTATTATAAGGTAGATGTGAAAAAGAATAAATAAAATACGATAGAGGTCTGGGCTTTAGTGACATCCATTTTTAGGGACATGTACTGGACTAACAACTGTGATGTACCGTGGCTTACTTTTCGACAAAGCGGGTTGATGCGCATTTTTTGGTCGGAGTTAAGTTTTCCATCTGTAGCGATGGAACACACCTCGTTAAGGCACAATGTTGTCATCCACTTGTTCAATAGTTGTCATCCAATGATGTAACTCAGGAGTAGGAATTGCTTTGATTGCTTCGCTTGAAGTGGGTGTCTGCATGGGTGAGGTTGATGGAAGGGGGGTGCGAGTGGTCCTGGCACTGTTTTCCATTTTGGTACTTATTTTAGTACTTTTAATAGATAAAGCTAAACATTTCCACTAAATTCGTAACACATTTATAACTAAAGTGTGTCACAGTTACTATCGGTATTGTCATAACAAGGTCACGGCTATGCACGTACTTATTTAATTATTTTAATTATTATTGGACACGTCTGTACACAATAAAGTGCACTTACAATCTATCAATAATTTTTCTGTAACAATACTCAATCAAGCAATCTTCGAAGTTTTCTTTATATTTAACTTTATTTCTTTAAATTTCTCCATTGGCTTTCAATTCGCTGGGTGTGTGTCTCTTCGGGGCCATCAAACGGATTATCAGGGGTCACTATGATTCATAGTCTTATGTATGTACCCATTATCTTTGAGACAGTTATGTGCCTTCCAACAATACGTGTATATAGTTGTCCCCGGTCTCACATGTTCTTTTATTATCGGTATGAGGGTCTCGGAATATCTTACATTATTACGACACACAACCACTCGCAGGTCATCGCTTCCACCTTGAATCATACCAAGAATCAGTGCCCTTCTATTTGTCGTCCTTTATTTAAAATTTTTTCCTAATTTACTTTCGTCAATTCGCACTAAGCAGCCTGGGCCTCCAATTGGTTTAGTGTATTTATTTTCCTTGAAGTCAATGATTACTACTTCTCTACATTAATTAAACCAATCTGAAATTGTTACATGCGATAAAGTTACTTCTCTGTACTCGGAACAACATCAGCAGCAAAGTAATACATCAATAGATATATTATTCGCAGCGGGATTTTTGCATTTTCAAACCAAGTGTTTTAAGCTATTGATTTTTTCCAGTCTTGCAGTTTTCCTTAAAACATTTAAATGTATCTTATTTGTACCTACAAGTCCACTCTTTACAACACCATAATTTTTCGTAATTGGTATTACTCCAACTCACTCGGAAAACTCCACATACTAGTCCTCTGTACCCAAAATCTTGAGTAATTTTTCGAATTTCCACTAACTTAGCTTAGCCACTCATTAGAGTAAAGGTGCATCCTCCTAAAAGGAACAGAATATGAAGGTCCGGTCAGAATGTGAAGTAGCAAGCACCTCTGCTTGTCATCGACAACCCGTCGCGGGTAGCGCTTCCTGGACTGGCTCAGCAGGGTCCTCCAAACTGGTAGATACAGAGGAAGCATGCGGCTCAACAGAGTCCAAAACACGCGTCACATCACTTGCACTAGTTATTGCTCTCAACTTGGCAAGGTCCTCCAAGCTGGTAGAAAAGGATGGAGTATGCGGCTCAACAGAGTCCAAAACAAGCGTCACTTCACTTGTACTACTTGATGCTCGCACCGAACTTGATCCAGAGGATGAAGACATGGTGACAGGCAGTGTATCCAAAGTTGTTCTCTAGAGTGATGGCAGATGCTCTCAAACACGAGTACAAACATTGAATGAATTGACACAAAAACAAAAAATCATAAAATATGTCCACAAACTAGTAAGAAGTGCTAGAATATGTCTAACAATGAGTTCGCGTTTCATTTGACATTTAGCATATATCATCAGGATCAAAATAATAATTTTAGATTATCACAAAAACTAAATTTTCGTACTTATTCACTGAAAAAAGCTCAAATCACTGTGAAATTGTTTAACCCGAATCAATAATATTTATTATTCGGGTTCACCTAAAAAGTATGCGTCAACTTCTTATTAATTTGCAAAATCAAAACGCATTATTAAAACTCCCTAAAATAGCAACACCTGTAAAAATTACGTCAATAACAATTAATAAATAACAAAATAATAAAATACTAAAATAGTATGTACATAATACATATGTACAAAATTTGAGTTTAATTTAACAAAGTTTGATATTATATATTTCATAAAGTATTTGTTTCCTAAGCATGAAACTTCGTGAGATTGATCAAGATAATAAGTACTGTGCACAATAAAAAAATAAGTCTACTACGGATCTCGTATATGAAAGACGAGCCCATAATAAATTACTAAGGAAGATTTAATTTCTTCTATGAACCTGATGCCCGGATGCGTCCCACATTAATTTAATAATGCAAAAACTTACCAGTCTGGACCATACTTTATTAACTAAAAGTGTAATAAAAACACTTGCCTATAATAACATTACAACTGTTTTTGAATTTCTTCAACAAGATGCAGAAAAGTTATCGACACTTACTAAATTAAATTTGTGCCAGATATTAGATATACGGAATAACATTTTCACGAAATATTCCGCACCTTTAGTCGACGGTCTTTTTTTATTATCAAAGAGTGCAACCAAAAAAAGATATATTGATATAGGAATAGAAAGGTTATAATATATGTATAAAGGTGTTATATTAAATTGAAACTGTTGTTTTAGTATGTAACATAAAATTTATATTTACAGTTTAAATGTTGTTTTGGGAGGAGGAATCCCTGTTGGATACATTACAGAATTATGTGGTCTAGCTGGATCTGGAAAGACACAATTAGGTTTTCAATTGGTGGTTAATTGTGTGAGAGAAACTGAAAATACGATACTATTTATTGATACTAAGGGAGATTTTGATGCAGTTAGAATTCAGAAAATTTTAGATAATCTAGGTTGTTCACATCAGGTACTTGATAAAAATAATTAAATAATTTGAAATTAAATGGGTGGCTATATTATATCTAAGGCATGCCATATAGTGGTGGTGTAGAGAATCAAATACCCCATAAATCATGCCATGTGTTGTATGAGGTGACAGAAAAATATAAACAAGAGATGTTCAGCACATTCTTCCTGTTAAGAGTTCAAATGATTAAAAAGCTAAGGTTTGCAATCTTTCTGCCGAACCACCATCATATACTGAGAGAAGCAGAAATATCTACTGGGCCAGCTAGGTTATTTCTAAATATACTTTGTGCTCTTTTAGTTTTTACTTACTTTTTGATTTTGCTGGCCTATTCATGTTACTTACCTATTTTCTTCATTCTGGTAGGTCTTTAATACTATAAGGTAAAAAAAAACTGTGTAGTGGCAGTATAAGAATAGCTATACTACCCCATATCATCCTGTGGGTGTTATAAGAGGCGACAGAGGGAAACTAGGAGATGGATAGGAGCATCTTTCTAATAACAATAAATAATCAAAAAAACTAGTTGCCAAACTGTCAGCCAATCACGTAAATTAAATATCCTTCCTATGAGCAATCTATGAGGAAGGCCTATGTTTAGCAGTGGACTTTGATAGGCTGTACTGGTAATTTCTTAAACGACCCGTAAAAGTCCATTGCAGGAAATGATTATTCCGTTATAGGAAGGATTTGCCTTAATTATCATGCTTGGTAGGTGGATTAATTATTGTGGCAGGAAGAATGATTGATAACAATTAATTTACTTTTATAGGAAATGGCAAGAGCTCTTTTTAAAATAAAAATAGTACAGATATGGACTATGGAGGAATTAATTGAATTGTTCAAGAAATTAAAAAATAAATCTGTAAACATTGAAAATTTAGCAATGATAATTATTGATTCCTTACCATGCTTGATGTTTCAACATTTTGGAGATGATAACAAAATAGGTTAGATGCTGCTTTATCTTCATAATAAATTTCCTATAAAAAGTAATGTGCCAAAATAATCCTTAGGTTGTACCTTCATTTAGATCTATGTAGTACTGTAGATCACTGAATGAGAGGAGGCCTGAGCCAAGGGTTGCCACCCGTACTATAATATATTATAGTATCATATTATGTTTCAGTCAATAGTAGGTACCATATTATAGAAAAACAATATATTTCGAAAAATACTATATTTTTTCCCTAATTAAAATGTCGCGATTGTTATTGTGACTGGAAGTCTGGAACAGGTAAGTTTTATGGAAATAATTTTTCCGTCATCAATATTAAATGGAAAGAAGAAAGAAAAAGATAAAAAATTTAATTAAAAATGAATTGTTAATTTATTTTAATATGAATTTCAATATATTATATTTTAAATTTATATATAATTACAATTATTTTAAAGGTTGACGGCCAAAGCAAAGAGCAATAACAAATTTATATGGAAAAATGCATAAAGATTAAAAATAAATATGTACTTACTTTTTTCCTGAATTTCCCAAAAGTACTATATTTTTGCGTCTTCTTTGGCAAAAATACTATATTTATTTTAAAAAAAGGTGGCAACCCTACCTGAGCCCAGCTGTGGGACATGTATAGACTGTAACTTTAAAGTTAGACAAGAAAAATGTATAGCTGGATTGTTCCTTTTAAAAGGTTCTACAAAAACGTTACCAACAGCATATTAACTCCACATAGTACTTGCATATTACGCATTGTAGTAGGAGTATGTCATGTGCTTTTACTTGAAAATTGCTATTGTATATTGCAGTTTAATTTGGTCATAAAAATAACATATTTTTTTTCATCATGTAAATCATTACTACACTACTGCCTTGTCTAATTTTGTACCCTTGCAGGTTTGACTTATATGAACATATTTGTTAATTATTGTCGCTACTTGTGCAAAAATCATGACATTGGTGTTTTGTGCATTAATATACAAACAAGATGGGTAGAGCAGGATATAACAGATTATATAGGTATGTTATCAGAAAAAGATTGGTAAATTTATTTAAGTAAAAAAATATTGAGAATTTAAATTTCATCATTAATTTTCAGATGGAAAAGACCAAACATATGTAGAAAAACAAAACCGTTGCTTAGGAAAGTATTGGCAACACATTCCTGCAGTTATTATTCTCATTGAAAGGTTGAAATTAGATAAGCCAATTAATGTGAGGAATGATGGTTTTCACGTGAAAGCAACAGTTGTTAGATCTAATGAAATAAAACTAGAACAGCATTGTATATTAACTGTGGATAGTTTGGGTGTAAGATAAAATATAAACATACAAACATGCAAACACTCAAAATGTTATTAACTCTAGTAATTATTGTGGAATTACTAAAATATGTCAGTTATTTTAAAATATAGATAGTAAGAAATAATTATATAACTCAATAATTTTTTTTTAAACAAAACAATAAATTTAAAACTTAAAAAAGTATCCATATTCTATGAAGGAGTCAGAGTAGGGTAGAATTGGTGCTTCTGCATCACTTGTTTTTGCTTCGCTGAAAGCCCCAATTTTCTTGAGTAGAGGTTCCACTTCATTGTTAAAATGCAATGTGGTACAAAAAAAAACAGTTATTTTAGTAATACTAATTGTTGCTGGTTTGAATCTATTTTTTTTTCTCCTCGAACACAGAGATATTTTAAATTAAAAGATGAAGTTTCATTTACATATATTTTATTGAAAATCAAACAAGCACTTTGTTTTCAAAACACCATTTCTTAACACTGAAAATATTTTTAACGCAGTTTACAGTAAAGTATCTTTAAAGTTCACAAAGAGTATTTAAATTGGGAGGTTCTAAGCAATTTATATATATGATAGTATTATTTTCATCACAAAGATCTTGTAACCATTTTATTTTTTTCACATCCTTTTAAAAAAAAATTATGGCTTAGCTTTCCATTGACTCCCGTCGAGTTGGGGGTTGATACGAATTTTTACAGAAAAGTTACACTATATTATAAGCACACGCACAAAGTTAGAACATCCGGAAACGCGTAATTTTTGAGAAAAAAGTTGTTGAAAGTCAATTATGGTACGACTTTCCATTGACTCATCGAGTTGGGGGTTGATACGTATTTTTACAGAAAAGTTACACTATTATAAGCACACACACAAAGTTACAATATGCGGAAGCGCGTAATTTTTGAGAAAAAAGTTATTGAAAATCAATTATTCTTACATTGTTTATGTCTAATCCTACAATAAAATAGAGATGAGTCGTTTTTTTCGCAACCTGTTACAGCAACAGGTTGCGTCGAAAATAAAAATGTAACCTGTTGCGACAAATCGCGCAATAGGTTGTTTCAGTAACGTCCAAGAATTAAATGTTTTTGCAGAAATATAGGTTGCGCACTGCTATTATCGATAAAGCAGCCGGTTAGTTGTGAGCAACTGTTAGGTAACAGTAACAGCTTGGCAGTTACGTACTGTTTTATCCACACAGTTGTTGTTAGTTACTGTGTTATGGTTGCTTACGAACTGAAGATATTCGGGCGATGTTATGCGTCCTTCAAATATGAATTTGAATTAGTCCGTTGACAACTATTGTTTATGATACGTTGTTCGAGTTTCGAAATAAAAGTAATAGTATTTAAAACTTTCAAAGTGCGTTTTGCTTAAATGTTATTGTGTTATTGTTTAGTTTACTTTATTTTTTTTGCATGTGTTTATTTGTTTTGCTTGCATGACGATATAATTTATAAAGCTTTGGTGTTGGAAACTAATAAACTGTATAAAATATAAAATGTCTCGAAAAACCAGTGATATTTGGAAACATTTTAGCATTGGAGACAATGTGGCAAAAATTGCAACTTGTAATATATGTCAAAATGCGGTATCATACAAATCTACCATAACAAATTTAAAATTACATTTAAAGCGTAAGCATGTGTCTGTATTTTATACATTAAGCCAACCTGATACTAATATTGCTTCACAAGCTACATTAACAAATGACAAAACGGTGAGTGTGACAAAAGCCAAAAGTCATCAAAAATGATTATTACATTATCAATTCAATTTTTTAATCTACGTATATAATCTTTTTATAGAGTAGGCTGACAAACAAGCAAACAGTCCACCTGATGGTAAGTGGATGCTGTGACCCACAGGTATCTACATTTATATTAAAATGTCTACTTTTACGTCGTTGTTTAAAAATCGATAAGATATCAAGAGAAAAATTTATTTAATATCTATTATTTTTAAAAAAAGCTTTAAATTCAAGTAATAAATAATTGACATTTTTTATATCCCTAGATAAATGTGACAAATCCAGAACATGCTATAGCATCAGCGTTAACAATAAATTCTACCGCTACGATTTCTGACGCTATTAGCTCCGGCTCTTCAGCGCAAAAACGGCAAAGAACAATGGCATCATATATTCCAAAAAAAATGAGTATGCAAGAAAGTAAACTGATAGATGAAGCCTTGTTACATCTTTTCATTTGGGATTATTAGCCGTTGAGTATAGTGGAAGATAAAGGATTTTTAAAATATACAAATGCTTTAAATCCTTCGTACAAACCACCTAGTCGGAAAACAATATCAGCCAGTTTGATACCATCGGCTTACACCGCCTGCAGGGAGAAATTAATGAAAGAAGTACAGCGAGAAGCTATGAGTGTATGCCTCACAACTGATACGTGGACTTCTTCCGTAAATGATAGTTACATAGCAATAACCATACATTACACTACATTAGAATTAGAATTCAAAACGGTACTTTTAGAAAGTGCTCACTATAGTGAAAAACATACAGGTGAACTACTAGCTAGCCAATTAAAAAACACGATTGAAGCCTGGGGCTTGACCGGAAAAGTAGTACTGGCAATAACGGACAATGCAAAAAATATTGTAAATGCCATTAATTTGTTAGGCTGGAAGCATTTTGGATGTTATGCTCACACCTTAAATTTAGTTGTTGATGATGCATTAAAAATTGTTAAAGATACTTTAGAAAAAATAAAAAATATAGTATCATATTTTAAGAGAAGTTCATCTGCAACAGATAGATTGATAAAATATCAAGTTCAACAACAGATTAATATACCCAAAAAACTCAAGCAATCTATACCTACTCGTTGGAATTCAACATTTTTCATGTTGCAGCGCTTTGTAGAGTTGGAAGAAGCAGTGCGGGCCACTTTGGCCCTGGTGCAAAGAGATTTTGATGAGTCTCTATCTGAAGACGATTGGATTATATGCACGCAACTTACCACTATTTTAAAGCCATTTGAGCAAGCAACGGCCAAAATGAGTGGAGAAAAATACACCACCGCCAGTATGGCGATAGTTGTAACGCGTGGTTTACATAACGTGTGTGAAAATTTGCTTAAAAACCAATACAAGCCTGTCATTAGCAATGTGCTACTGAAACTAAAAGAGGGACTTTCAATGAGATTCAATAACATTGAATACCATAAAGAGTTGGCTATGAGCACACTTTTAGATCCGAGATTTAAAATGAGTGGCTTTAGTGATAAATGTGCGACAGATCATTCCAAAAAAAGAGCCATTGATATGGTTGCTACTATGATCGGCAACTCTGTTGTTACACATTATCCCACCACTTCTAATGAGCCATCGCAACCTGGCTGTTCAAAAGAGATATCCATATGGGACGACTTTGATCGGGAAGTTAATAATTTACAGCCAAGAAGCTCACCTATGGCAAAAGCGATTACGGAAATAGGAGCATATCTAGAAGATGCATTATTGCCCCGAAACTCCGAAGACACACCCCTTGAATGGTGGAAAAACAATCGCCATCTTTATCCAACACTATGCAAGTTATTTATTAAAAGGGGCAATTTCCTGGCTACCAGTGTGCCTTGTGAACGAATATTTTCGAAAGCTGGGTACATTATTAATGACAGAAGGACCCGATTAACCAGTGAAAAGGTTCGCCAATTGGTGTTTTTAAATATTAATAAAACTTAAAAATATTGCTGCTATAAATAATTTTTGTTTGACTTTTTTCATCCACAAATATAATTTCTCGTTACTAAAATTTCATAACCAAATTTATTTTTAATAGAATTAGGATGACGACGAGCACACAGTACACCTGATGGTAAGTGAATGTAGTGGCCCATAGACGTCTACATCTATCCTCGATTAACAATTAAAATGCAGATGCGTTGACACTGAGGACTGAGATGGAATGCCTCGCTTAGTGCCCGTAAAAGGGTCTCTTTACACTCACCATATAAAACACAGCAGCATTAAGCTGCTATTTTACGTTGGTATTTTTTGAGACGAACCAACCCATTCGTGCTACAACCATAATAAAGCAGTAGCGTGGCTATACCACGTATAATACCTACCTAATAATGACTAAAGACACAAAATAAAAACTATATTAAGTACTAATTTAATATTACATGGCAATTAGAAACCTGTTGCAAAAAAAACCTGTTGCTGCAACAGGTTTCTTAAAAAAAATGTAACTGGTTGCATCATTGCGTTAAAGCAACGATAACGCCCATCTCTGCAATAAAACTGACGCCATTTTATTATTGTTATTGTCAGTAGGGATGTCGAATCTTTCCGAAAAAGATCGATTTTTTATATAGATTCGAATTGTAAGCTGTTGTATCGATTCCCAAAAAATTGATTTCTAAAATATCTATTTTTTTCATTTTTGCATTTATAATGTAAATATAAATCCATTTTATGAGAAAAAAATCCCCTTCATCATAAAATATAGGGGGACTGATTCAGAAGGATTTCTGTATCTATTTTGAAACTGCTACGTCTCCGGCGCTGCGGGAAGAGCAGCCTCTACGCTTTAGCGTAACAAATCGTAGGCACTACGATTTGTTACAGCAGGCGGAGGCTGCTCCCCCTACGCGCCTACGGCTCTTTAAAACCACTCTAGGGGTAGGACAGACTCGTACCAGGTGGAGTCGGGGTCAATCAATTCGGTTCTTTGACATAAGTTGAACCTAACCTATTTTATTTGTTATCTGTCCTAATTGGTACTGTTAAAATAAAACAAAATTCAATAAGGGATCATTTATTATGGTATCTTTCTTGTTTTCATAAAATGGAATTATATTTACATTATAAATGCAAACATAAAAAATATGGATATTTTAGAAATCGATTTTTTATGAATCGATACATCAGTTTACGATTTGAGTCGATTTAAAAATCGACCCTTTTCGGAAAGAATCGACATCCCTAGTGACGACAATGACATTACAAAATGGCGTCAGTTTAATGGTAGGATTAGATATAAACAATGCAAGAATAATTGAGGCTTAGCTTTCCATTGACGTCCGTCGAGTTGGGTGTTAATAGGTATTTACAGAAAAATTACACTATTATAAGCACACACACAAAGTTTTAACATGCGGAAATGCGTACTTTATGAGAAAAAAAAATTATTTGAAAATTAATTATTCTTGCAATGTTTACGTAAAATTCCTTCCTACCGTAAAACTTTCGCCATTTTGCAATGTCATTGTTGTCGTCAGTAGGGATGTCGATTCTTTCCGAAAAAGACAGATTTTTAAATCGATTCTAATCGTAAGCTGTATCGATTCATAAAAAATCGATTTCTAAAATATAGATATATTTTCCTGTTTGCATTTATAAGATACCATAATAAATGATCTCTTATGGAAAAAAGAAAGATAACACAATAAATGATCTCTTATCAGTAAAATCAGTTTTAATGGCGATTTTCAAGGGTGAAATATCGACTCATTGGATCGATTCTGTACTGCATACCGATTTAAAAAAAACGATATTTTGGGCCTGAAAAATCGATCTCAGATCGAAGAAAAAAAAATAGTACATAAAAATGTCTTCGAAGAATTAATTAAGGCTATTATACAATATGTTTATAAAATTGATTAATAAATTATTAATTATATTTGATTTGTTTTATTTTAACAGTACCTATTAGGGCAGATCTATACAAATAAATAAAATTGAAGTGTCTGTTTGTAATGTCAAAATTACAGTTTTTTACTAAATGCATATGAAAGTAAATACGATACCTATAACTAAAATACAATTTTTAAAATTTTTGTCTGTCTGTCTGTCTGTCTGTTTGTTCCGGGTAATCTCCGAAACGGCTGGACCGATTTTGACGGGACTTTCACTGGCAGAGAGCTGATTTCATAAGGAGTAACATAGGCTACTTTTATTTTAGAAAAAGAATCAGAGTTCCGCGCAGAAACATAAAAACCCTAACACGCGAACGAAGTCGCGGGGAACAGCTATTAATAAATAAAATAGGTTAGGTTCTACTTATGTCAAAGAACCAAACTGATTGACTCCGACTCCACCTGGTACGAGTCTGTCCTACCCCTAGAGTGGTTATATAGAGCCGGAGGCGCGTAGGGGGAGCAGCCTCCGCCTGCTGTAACAAATCGTAGGCATCAGACGAGCCGGAACGGCTGAGGCTGGTCGCTGAAGGCGACCAACAAGCCGAAGCTGCGAAGGCGAGGAGTTTGTTACGCAAAGGCGTAGAGGCTTCTCTTCCCGTAGCGCCGGAGACGTCGCACTTGCAGTCTCAAAATTGATACAGAAAACTCTCTTAATCAGTTCCCCTATTTTTTTCTGATGAAGGGGATTTTTTTCTTATAAAATGGATTTATATTTCCATTATAAATGCAAACATGAAAAAATATCGAAATTTTAGAAATCGATTTTTTTGTGAATCGATGCATCAGCTTACGATTCGAATCGATTTATAAAATCGATCTTTTTCGGTAAGAATCGACATCCCTACTAACGATGACAATGACAATACAAAATAGCGTCAGTTTTACCTATGGAGTGTAGAGTAGAAGGAGAACCATCTTATAAGGTGCGAAAGTTGAAAAAGTGTCCCAATATATACTGAAAATAGAGGTTCCAAAACCTACCACAATAGCGCTGGCGTCTGAAAAACTACGATATGAATATAGCTGTTGTAGACGGAGTGAAGTCAGCTGAATTAAAATATTTAAAAAATTTCATGATTACAGTAGTTAGTAAATTGCCAATATACAAAACCTCAACTATTTACGTACCTAGTACAAAACCAAGCGGATTGGTCGGTCCTTGTTTATTTCTCCATCTTATTCTAATAAATTTTGGCGCTTTTTTTAAATTTATCCTATGCTACTGCAGCGCCACTCTTATTGGACGCGTTTTTAGGGACACTTCAATACTGAGATGGTCTTCCTTCTACTCTACACTCCATAGTTTTACCGTAGGAATGGACATAAATATTGAAAAAAATAATTGATTTTCAATAATTTTTACGCGTACGCGTTTCCGCATGTTGTAACTTTGCGTGTGCTTATAATAATGTAACCTTTCTGTAAAAAAAATATCAACTCAACTCGACAGGCGTCAATGGAAAGTCTTACCAATTCTTTTATTATGAATTCATTTTTATAATATCCTTGAAGATCTAGAATTATCGTATTGATATTCATGATATTTTCTTAACGATATTACTCAGTGGTTTGTACTCAAAAATACAATCGTTTAAAATCAAGCAATAAGCAGCTGTCTGATCTGGTATTTCTGTCTCTTTCAATTTCAACAGCACAAAAAAGAGTCAGTAATTGAATAGGCATTTGTAGAAAAGCTTTTTTTATTCATCATCATTACAGTCTTTCATAAGTCCACTGCTGAACATAAGCCTCCCCCAAGGAATGCCACAAAGCACTGTCCTGAGCCACCTGCATCCATCGACTTCCTGCATGTCTTACCAGGTCGTCACTCCATCTCGTGGGGGGTCACCCTACACTTCGTCTACCGGTACGAGGCTGCCACTCAAGAACCTTTCTTCCTCATCGGTTGTCGGTTCTTCGAGCTATATGGCCGGCCCACTGCCACTTCAGCTTACTAATCCGTTGGGCTATGTCGGTTACTCTGGTTTTACTGCGGATATACTCATTTCTAAGTTTATCACGCAGAGAAACCCCGAGCACAACCCTCTCCATAGCTCGCTGAGCGACCTTGAGCTTCCTCATACGGCCAGCAGTGAAGGACCACGTCTCAGATCCGTAAGTCATCACTGGCAACACGCACTGGTTGTACAATTTCGTTTTAAGGTTTTGAGGTATGTCTGACGAGAAGATGTGTCGTAGTTTCCCGAACGCTGCAAGGCCGAGTTGAATCCGGCGATTGACCTCTCGGCCGAAGTTGGACTTACCTAGTCGGACTATTTGTCCCAAGTAAACATACTCGTCAACAACTTCGAGCTTAGTGCTCCCAATAACTACCGTCATAGGTGTGACATGGACATTAAACATGATCTTTGTTTTGCCCATGTTCATCCTAAGACCTATTCGTTGGGAGACACTATTGAGGTCATTGAGCATGGTGCTTAGGTCCTCCAGCGATTCTGCCATAAGGACTATATCGTCGGCAAATCGAAGGTGAGTGCTATACTCGCCACTGATGTTAATACCGTATCCTTTCCAGTCCAGAAGCTTGAAAACGTCTTTCAATGCAGCGGTGAAGAGTTTCGGGGATATAACGTCACCCTGCCTTACACCTCTCTGCAATTGGATAGGTTTCGTACTCTGGTTCTGTACTCGGATAGCCATCGTAGCTCTACTGTACAAACACTTCAGCACTTCGATAATAATATTTATTTATTTCTCCCACTTTTTATACAGTTTCATTTCTTACATAAATAGTTTAAGAGTTTTAAGTTGTTGTGGGAGACAGGAGCCCAAACTAGGTAACCCTGTGCTATGGGTCTCCTGGCTCCCCCTCTTGGCTTTATTACAATTCGATGAATATATACCTAGACATGAAGTGACCGTTGCCTGTGAAGATCGAATATAAGATTTCTTAGGTGTAAATAACAATTAAAGGCAATATTGATTATATATAGCATGGAATATGTTTAAAATTGAAGTATATAATCAAAATGTTATATAAAAGCATATACGTATACATATATAAATATACATGAATGTGTGTGTGTGTGTGTG